GATATTCATGTCCCCTCAACTTCTCCACGTTTGCTTAGGCAGTATGCAAAACTTTTTTTAACCCTGCCTTCTTCAAGTCTTCTGTTCATCAGACTATTTTCAGTCAGTCTATCGATAACTTCTCGTATCTTCCGTTTTTTATTTTCATCACATGCAGCCAGCCTCTCTGTCGATTTCCACTCGATTTTATGTCTCGTTCGTGCGATGGGTTCCGTTATTTTGTATCGTTTAGTTTTCATGTTTCTGCAGAGTATTTGGTGTTTCTTGATTCGTAGGCTACTTTTTCTTACTATTTCACCAATATACTTCCGCTCACAGCTGCCTCACAGTTGATACTATAGACTCCCGAGCAATCCAGTCTGTCAACCTTCTCGTGTTGCGTCAGCAGGCTTGTGAAGAGTGTTATATTTTCTTTGGTTATCTATTTGATATTCAATTTTCTTAGCAACGGTCGCAATTTCTGGCTCAACTCACAATAAGGCAGACATGGCCCCTTTGTGTCGTCATCCTGATTTCTGATCTTGTTTTTATAAAATCTCAGCTTAAATCTGTTCTTTATTACCCCTATATTTATTTCTATTAATTCTCTGGGACGTTCGTTAGTGAGGCAAATCCGAGTCAGTTTCTACAATCCTCTTTCTAGAACTCAGTGTACGTTACTCTTAAGCTTCTGATGTTCATACTCCTCATTATTCCGATCTTCAGTCTGTAGTTGTGATGAGATTGGAAATAGAGGATTATTCCCTCCATATGATTTCTATCTGACTAGTCTCCTGTTTAGTATTCCGTTCGAGCGAATGACCTTAATATCCAGAAAGGATAATCCTTTATCCACCCCCAATTTCATTGTGAATTTAATTCTTTCGTCATGTTGATTTATAAAATTGAGGAATTCATCCAATTTTTCTTACCACGCGACTAAAGTGCATAATAGTTGTCCAGGTAGCGTATAGGCAGTCTTGGTTGCTGAGATGACTTCTCGAATTCCTTCTCCAATCTGTCCATGCATACATTTGCCAAAAGAGGTGAGAGTTTAGATCCCTTCGGTAGTTTAAATATTTGCTTATAAATAGTTCTGTTGACTGTAAGATATTTGGTACTTACTGTCAATTTGATTAGTCGTGTTAACGACTCCTTCCGTATCTGCTCTGCTTTCAGGATATCCTCCTCTCGTTCCAAGACATCCAGCAGGGCGGTGATTGCCTACTCGCCTGAGATATTTGTGTACATGGATTTTACGTCAAAACTTACAAACATTTCCGTCCCTGTCAGTTCAATATTTTTGATCCTTTGAGAAAATGCATATAAATTCTTAAAGGTATTTGAGAGTCTGTCATTTACTTTCTTAAGCATCAAGCAAATGTGTTTCGCTAGCTTATGTACTGCTCAATGCCTGCTGTTGACTCTTATTCTTAGAGGATATCATTCTTTGTGTATCTTAGATAGTCGGTAGCCTGTCGGTGGTCTTGCGTCTAACTTAATTCTAGGAAAAAAATTACAAGGAGACCAGAGAGGAACAATCGGAAGCCAAGAAAAGACGTCTACAGTGAGCATATTCAAATCAGGTTGAACCATCACATTTGCGTGTTGCCACGCAAAATAATGTCATAGAAGAGCGAGAGAAGCGGTAGTGGCCATTTATAGTTAGCTATTAATAGATAAGTTTGCTCATAGACGTGATCCATGAAGTAAAGGCTTGATCACGAGCTTTACTCTGTGTACTTGCTGCATAGTGATAAGAAGATCTTCGGCGTCATTCTACATTGCTTTGTCAAATGAGAATCCAGACTTCAGTGGCTTGCTTAGTGAGGCTGGTGTATACTTGCTATCAAAGGCTTGAGGCAGAGTGCAGAACATAACTCCTTGAGTAACAGGGATACGGTGGCAGCGATGGGGTGGAATCACTGAAACAGAAAGATAAGGGAAGGATCCTATGGAGCAAGAGGGGACTCTGATAGGACCCGAAGAAAGAGGATTGCGGATTAAGCCGTAGCCTTGGATCAACACTCCCGGTACAATGAGAGGCATGTAAATATATTTCAAATAGGTCTGTATGAAGAAGTAAGAGATAGTGTTATGGAAAGTTGATACGAGGATATAGGAGAAGTGAATAGCTCAGGACAAAGGAGAGATACCACAACTGTTTAGCACACATTTGGTTAAAGGATCGACTTGATTTGTCTCATTGACGAGTTGTAGTGTGGCGTTAAGACTAGCAAGGCTCATTCACGACACCGGCGAAACGTCTGAGAATGTACCAAGTCTGCGGTCCGACTCTGGAATTGACCATGCATATTATGGACTGCTGTCAAGGTGCGTTGTTCTAGGTCTTCCTGACAATATGACCAAGTTGCGAAAACAAGGTCAAACAAATTCTATAGAATTAGACAAGTTACGACAATTTTTGTTGTGATTAAGGCTGACCACTGGATTTTTACTATCTCGGCGTGTCTTTATTACACAATGACGCGTTTTGTCTTACAATTCTAGCTGTTGCAGTATTTCTATACACCTTTTCCATTAGTGTACGTGGTTATTAATTTATCTGTCGACCTATATGTATACCTTTCTATTATTTGTTTATTTACTTCACGCACTCTTGTTTTTATGCTTATCTCTTGATTTATTCTCTTTTCATTCTTTTCACTCGTCTGCTCCATATTCTTATTATAGAGTAATTGCTTATTTAAAATTTTCCGTCTGTGATAACACGTGGATAGCACTCTTCCGATATCATTACACTTTCTAACCCTGTTGGCTGCAGCCACTTTAGTACCTTACCTTTGCCTTTAATTTCTTCTGTTGAGTAGATGATCGTTCAGACTACATTATATGCTTGCACACAAATCACTTCTATCCTTTCTTTACGTCTACTTTCATTTGCTTCATTTCTTGTGCTTAAAATCATTTTGATTTTGTTAGTTACTTAATCTATTTTTTCAAAGAGCTACATTCTTTAATCCCTTCCTTTGCTTTATCACCCAGCCAACCAATCTATGTACCTACTAACTTCCAGGCTGCATACCTACTCACCTATTTATTTACCTACCAACCTTCCCAGTTTATTTTTAGTTGCTTTAAGGAATCTTTTTATTTGAATCAGGGGTTCAGGTGTACGGAAGGAGGAAAGTTGTTTGTTCGGAGCTCGCTTATAATTTAGTAATGGTATAATGAGGAAGAATATAAAGTCAAAGCATGATATTTGGTCCAATTGCATTTTTTTAAATATTTGCATCCACTTGACATCCTTGATTTTGATGCTAAAGCTTGACTTATAAAAACACAATAAATTTACTGTCTTTCGGCTTTTCACTTCGCAGAAGAAGGGGGACTACCTTTGAACGATTGTAACTGTTGGGTTTTACGAATAAGTCATTGGCTTGGTGTCCTGCGGTCCTGAGGAATCTATATTGAGCTTTTGTATTTTACATGACAGACAGTCAAAAACTTAAACTACCATTAAACTAAGAGGGGTCTAGGTTGTTGATGCTTCTCTTAGTAACTGATGGTTCCTGGCTCTGACCATTTCTACCATAGTGACAGACAAAAGCTCGGCAGGACAATGAAATGAGGATTTCTTTTGACAATCC